AAACATCCTACCTGTATGTCTTGTGAAATGACAAGAGTCATCCCTGTACAAAGAAACTGTTTAGTTCTTGTTTTTCCCTGTAGGTTTATTGAAGAATAATTGACACATAAAAATTGCATATATTCAAGTCGGGTGCCGATGGCTCATGCCTGTTATCCTAGCTACTCAGGACGTTGAGATATGAGGATTGCAGTTTGAAGCTAGTCTGGCAGGAAAGTCTGTGAGACTCTTTTATTGCCAATAAACTACCAACCCCCCCACCCCCAGAAGTGGAGCTGTTGCTCTAGTGGTAGAGTGCTAGCCTTGAGCAAAAGAAGCTCAGGAACAGTGCTCAGGCCCTGAGTTCAAGCCTCAGGACCAGCGTGTGCCTACCCCCCACCTCCCAAATTGCATATGTTCAATATGTGCAACATGATGATGTATGCATTATGAAATGACTGTCATGGTGAGTTATGTATCCATTATCAAATGATATTACTTTTGTGTGGGTAAGGGGGAGGGGAGAGGAGTGAGAATATTTAAGATCTATTTAAGATACATTTCCCATACAGGTTAGATCATAGCACATACTGTATTTGTTTTATGGTTTTTCTTTTGGGGGTGTGTTTTTGTTTCGTGCTGGTAGTGGGACTTGAACTGAGAGCCTTGATCTCTCACTTAGCTTTTTCACTGAAAGCTAGTGTTCTACCATTTGAGCCACATCTCAGGTTCCAGCTGTGTGTGTGTGTGTGTGTGTGTGTGTGTGTGTGTGTGTATGTGTATGTGTGTGTGTGTATGTGTATGTGTGTATGTGCATGTGCTGCTATTGGGATTTGAACTCAGGATCTGGGCACCTGGGTTGGCACTCTGCCATTTAAGCCACAGCTCCACTTTCAGCTTTTTGGTGGTAAATTTGAGATAAGAGTCTCACAGATTTTCCTGTCTGGTCTGGCTTTGAACTGAACCTCAGATCTCAGCTTCTTTGAATAGGTAGGACTACAGGTGTGAGCCACTGGCACCTGACAATGTTGATTATTTTTGAGACAGAGTCTTGCTTCCCACTTAGATCTTCCCACCTAAGCCATGATCTTCTACATTAGGCTTCCCATTATTGCTGGAACCACAGGCTTACGCCTCTATGTCCAGCTTCCACTGTGATGAAATCTTGTGGACTTTTTCTGCCCCAGCTAATCTACAACTGTGACCTTCCCAATCTCAGCCTCCCACAGCCTTGATGACAGTTACATACCACTGCACCTAGCTATGGGTTGAGAGAGCAACAGTGTCTCTTGAACTTTTCTTCCTGGGCTGGCCTTGAACTGTGATCAACCTAGTTTTAGCTTCCTAAGTAAGATTGTATTATGGTGTCTGGCTGATGAGTCTTTTGTCTTCTCACTAATATCCTCTGAAATATGCCATCTTCTGCCTATGGGGCTTCTCAGCTGACTCCTGCTGAGCCAAAATGGTGGAAAGGTAGACCTCCCGGGGAAGACTTTTCTTCAGAGCCCTACTGGAAGGCATTTCAGGGTGGGATGTATACAGATGCATTAGGCAAGTGGGTTCTAGCATGGTGTAAGAGCATCCTGGTTTATGAGGAGGCTATGTGTTTTTCAGTCATTCTGACCTGGCCTTAGGAGGCAGGGCTAGGCTGGGGAAGATATCACCATTGGGTATACCTACTAGTCCTAGAGGAGTTACTAGGAGCAGGAGTCTTCCCAGGGCTACTTGGTATTTCCCATTAAGTAGACTTTGTGTGCTTGGATGTAGGAGCTTGCCCAGAACAGTCTCCTCTGAGTTGATTGCTCTTGGCTGGGTGGGCTGGTTGCCTTGCCTATTCAAGGGAGCCAGTTTCCTGTCCCCCAGCTCATCCATCACAGCAGATTGTCGGGGACCTGTAGATACTGTGACCCAAGAAAGGAGATGCCAGTGTTCCCAGGCTCTGTGTTGACAGGATATGAATTGAATTTGCCTAGCAGTGCCAGGGGGTGGGAAGACAGGAAAAGAACATCCAGGGCTCTGTTTCAGGCATTATTCTCTTCCTGTATTGGGTTGGCCTAGGGCCTGAGCCCAGAGCCCGCAGCTGTGTGTTGGTTCCTTGCCCTCACAGATGTGACACATTTATTCCTTACTAAAAAATGGGCTCTGCCCCTCCACATAAATCACCTGTGTTCAGCTATGGGCCTGTAGCCTGGGGTGACTTAGTCAGACTAATGAAGGGCCCTAGAGCAAGGGCCCAGGCCAGTGCCAAGAGGTGTGTTACAACTTGGATAACCTCCCTGCCTATGGGATAAGCAGTCCTAGGGCCCCACACCTGCAGCCTGAGTCTCTCCAGGGTGTCTCAACCTCGCAGCCTAGCCCAGTGTAGTGTGCATTTGTTGGCTGCTGTTGATTTCCTAAGAATCTTTCTCCATGCTGTCCACCCCTTAAAAGCTCAATATAAGAGGCTTTCAAGGACCTTCCTACTCACAAGATACATAACTTTCAAAGGCTTAAACCCTATTTATGAAGATCCAAGGCTATTTCTGGGCTGTTTTCCTTAGCCCACAATGCCTCCTCATTTAGGAGTGGCTAACTAGGGTCATAAAAACTTGTTTCATAGCTGCTTTTGTCTCTCAAACCCACTGGTTTTTACTTAAGGTGTATATTACTGATTTTTAAACAGCAATGTTCTAAAGTTACTTTTTATTCATGCATTGTGTGAAAGAAATAATGAAAAATCAGTTTCAGTCAAGTACCAGTGGCTCATCTATCATTCCAACTATGAAGGAGGTTGAGTTCATGAGGATTATGCTTCCAGACCAGACCTGTGCGCCCGCTCCGCCCCTACTCTCTGCCCCCCCCAAAAAAAATCATCTAGGCCAGCCTAAACAAAAAGTAAGATTCCATCTCAAAATAAACCCAGAGGTTTCTGGGCACTAATGGCTCATGCCTATAAACCTAGCTACTCAAGAAACAGAGAGGTGTGGATTGCAGTGCAAAGCCAGTCCAAGCAGTCCATGAGACTCTTACTTTCAATTAGCCACCCAAAGGCTGTGGCTTAAATGGTAGAGCACTAGCCTTCAACAAAAATATCAGGGACAGCACCCATGCCCTGAGCTCAACCCCACAACCAGCACATGCACAGAGACATAAATCAACCAATCAATCAATCAATCAGAGCAGAGCTGGGTGCCTATCTACTCCCTTAACCAAGCCCACAGGCTTGAGAATCATGGTTCAAAGCCAGCCCACATGAAAAGTCCAAGAGACTGTCTTGCCCCTCCCCCCCAAAAAAAATCAAAAAAGCTAATCCAGAGGTGTGTCTCAAGTGGTAAAGAGTGCTAGCAATGAATGAAAAGCAAAAAAGAGCAAAAGCGTTAGACCATGAGTTCAAGCCCCAGTATTGGTACCATGGTTCAAGCAGTAGAATGTTTGTCCTCCAACCCAATGTCCAGAGTTCAAACCCCAGTACCACAAAAACATAACATAAACATATATGTTTACATATATACATATATACAATCGTAAACATATCAAAATTATAGAATTGTATCTTTAAGTGTACCTTTTAGGCAAGAGCAACTAAAGATGGAAAAGTGGTCAGCTGGGTGTTAGCTGCTCATGCCTATAATCCTAGTTACTCAGGAGGCTGAGATTACGAATCACCGTTCAAAGACAGCCAGGCAGAAAAGTCTAAGGGAGTCCATCTCCAATTAACCAGAAAAATATGTGATTGGAGGCAGGGCTCCATTCAGGAGGTGAACCTGAACTCAAGGCCCTGAGTTCAAGCCCCTGTATTTGCCAAACATAAAGGAAAGAAAGGTGGTCGGTCAGGCCTTTTTACCCCTTGGGACTGCCATCTCTTGTTTCTCTTTCACATTTTTAGCTTAGATTATTCTTTCAGCCACCCTGGGAGGTCCTATAACCTGTTAGCTCAGTTCCTCTAGGAGCTAATTTTGGATTTGTAATTTAGCTGTGTGTATTTCCCATGGTTCTGTGATTCTATAGCCCTCTGTCAACCTCATTTTTGCCTTTACAGCAACTGAGATGTCTTACAATTACCTCCTAGGGGCATCCATGGGTCTCTAAAGTCCTCACTGTGATCCTTTTCTGAGCAAAACACATTGCTCAGGCAGCGAGTGGCCTCAATTTTGCTCTTTACTCTCATCTCTGATGCTTTTAATAAAAACGTGAAAATCAGCCTATAGTCCATGTTCTTCAAAGCCAGGACTGCAAAAGAATAATTGAGAGTTTCTGGTGGATGAGTATTTTTCTGGAGAGCAGAGAGAACTACTCGGTGTATCAGGCTATTTGCTTAAGCTGTGCAGTCGGGCTATGTTTGGGGCAAGGGGCAAGGGCAGGATAGGGAGTCTGAGGTCTTTCTCTGCTGACTCTTGCTACCCTTCTGTTACATTTGCCCCAAAGCCTTTTTTTTTTTAATACTGGCAAAAAGTTTGAACTTGGGGCCTCCCATTTGTTAGGCAAATATTCTCCACTTAAGTTAAATCCCCATCCCTTTTGCTTTTAGTCTGTTTTCCAGGCAGGGTTTCACTCCTCAGCCACCCCAACTCCAGGCCTCCTAAGCAACCATGCCTCACCATGCACCACCCTGCACAGCCTTCTTTTTGATGTTCTGTGAGGGGACAGATGTAGACCTGTCACTGTCTCAAAGGAACCCTAGTTACCCAAAAAAGTTTTTCCTGCTTTTCAGGAAAGTGGTAGGCCATGGAGCATAGTGATTAAGGATAATCTTGAGACCCCAATCATCTTGGGTTCAAATCATAGCACTTATATTTTATCAGTTACATAATGTTTGCTTAGCTTTTTGCAGCCTCAGTTTTCTTATCTGTAGGATGTGATAAACACTACTTCATCCTGGGTATTTGTGATGGTTAAATGGGACCAGGCATGTCAAAGACTTGACAATTTATAAGTCTCAAAATAGGGCTACATATTAATAACTTGTGGGAACACTGCTTAACCTCAGGAATCCAGGGTGTGAGAACCTTTAAATAACCACCTGTTGCCTTCTTTCTACTTAGGGTATCAAGAAACCATTTACTGAAGTCATCCGTGCTAATATTGGAGATGCCCACGCTATGGGCCAGCAGCCTATCACCTTTCTCCGACAGGTGAGCCAGCCCTTGGGAACAGAGGTTGCTGGGAAGGGCGAGCATAGCTTGTAGGATCAGCCTCTGTCTCCTTGTATACCCGGCTTCTTCAGATATAGCAGGCACCAGAATCCCTCAGAGAGGTGCTGTTGAAGTAACAGCCCCATTCACTGATCTATGATGTCCTCTGGTTTTCTCCCTTAGCTTCCAAGGTTGTCAAAAATTCCTAAACTTGTTTTGGAGTTGCTTTGATGTAGGAAAGTCACAAGAAGACTCTTCTGCAGTGCAAGAACCTGGCATGGTTAGAGAGGGTGCTTATTAGGTAGTCAGCAGCTAGACAGAAAAACCGCAGTCCCAGTGGGCTGAAAGGTGGTGTGAGAGTGGTGACACCACATTCTCCAAGAGACCCCCAGGTTTCAAGTTGGCTGTTTTAGGCAAACAATTCCCTGGAGGACTGCCTTGGAGGACCACTGAGGCTACCTTTCAGACTGCAGGAACTTCAGGCTGTGGCAGCACTGTCATCTGCTGCTCTCCTGGCTGCCTCACTCCAGGCCAGCTCACTCACCAGAAAGCTGGTTCCTAGGTTTCAGTTTGAACACCACAAGAGCGCTGCATGAGCTGAAACTCTGGTTTGGTGAACTTGGAGAGAAGGAAAGCAGGCTAGGGGAATACCACAGGCAGCCTCAACAAAGCTACTGAAAGCTATAGAAAGCTTTTACTGGGCCTGTTTTAGACAAAAATGTAGTCCTGTGTGTGGTTAAGGCTCACAAGCTAGGACAGCCAATGAAATTGAGTATTGGGCATTCCACTCCCCTTTTCTCTACCTGTGCCTCCCATTGCAGAGGTGGCACAAAGGTGGAATAGCCCTGCCCCACCCTTGAGGCGGGGGCAGAGAGCTGGCAGGGGCTGGGAGGCCACAACCTACACAGCTTATAGACCTGAGGGAGTAGACTTGGTAAATGGAAGAAAGCACCCAAAGCTGATAGTGGTTTAAGGAATGTCCTATGTTCACTACTGCTGACCTTCAGAGCATGCCAGCTGCCCATGGATATCAAAGTCCCCACCATGGGGAAATTGAACAGACCAAACAGGGAAGGGAGGAGAGCAAATAATGGCTGTGCCAGAGAGAGGGAGGCAGGAGAGAAGGGCAAAGGGTCCAGGCACTGGCAGTGGAGGGGAGGGGCTAAATACTCAGCAGAGGCTTCACATATGCATGTGCCTGGGGCTCTGGCAGAAACAGGCACCAAAACAAAACTTAGCCTTTACTGTCTGTCAAACCCTTCGTCAAATCCAGTCCTGCCAAAGGTCATAGAAAACCTTGACTTTCCTGTAGGGTGCTTTCACTTCCAGCCTCCAAGTGTTTCCTATTATTTTCATAAGTGCCCCTGAGGGCAGAGGGCAGACCACACTGTTGTTCATTGTGCAGAGAAAGGAAGGCTGGAAAGTCACCTGGCTGGTGTCAGAGCTGTGAGCCAAGAACCCCACCCCCACCCTCCTTGGGTACACCTGGCTCAGCTGCCAGCTGAGACTTGCCTGGTGATCTGGGCTTTGCTGGTACCTTTGCACATGTCCTTGCTTAATCCTCCTAATTTGTGAGCTTAGGGTGATTTTCTGTCACAGAGATAAGAAAGATGTCCCAGGATTTAAGCATGAGAAAGGGGGTGATGAAGAGAACAGAGGGGGAATCTGGGGTGAGAGGGTCTCAGCCATGGTCTTCAGGGGTTTTGTAGCCATGTTCCTGTTAGCTGGGCTTTGCTCTCTCTAGTCCTGGAGTCTGATCTGAAGGCCCCTGTTTCTTAAGACCTTAAATGTCTGAGCTTACTATCCTTTATGGACAAGTTGAGACCAGCAGCCTTGGGGTAGCCTGGCTCTCTTCCTTGCTTCCTCATATGGCAGCTCATTCTTGGTCCCTAGGCCCTGGTCATAGTGTCCGCTGGCTCTTGGCAATGAAAATGCTTTCCCACAGAGCTTGATGTTCTGCTCTCCCTGATGGGCTCAGCCCTGGCGGAGAGGCTTGCTGTAGCCGTGGTTTGGGAGTTTTCATTAACCCATCATTCCTAGTGTCCTTTGTGCCCCACCCACCCTGGAGTAGGAGTACAAGGGGTTCAGCCTATACCTGCTCCCTTAGGTGATGGCGCTCTGCACCTACCCAAACCTGCTAGACAGCCCCAACTTCCCAGAAGATGCTAAAAAACGAGCTCGACGGATACTACAGGCTTGTGGCGGGAACAGTTTGGGTAAGGCCCCAACTCACGAGGTTCCCAGGGTATGAAATGGACATGGGTATCTGATCTGGCCCTATCTTTGAACAAAGGGTCCTACCTGGAGAGAGGAGGGTAGGAGAGAGGAGGGGGGAGGGGAGGGAGAGGGAGAGGGAAAGTATCAGGGTCTGTGTGTCTATATGTAGGGGGTAACTGGTGCATAAAGTGTATACAAAGAAATCTTCTCATTGTGATCCTTGTGTTCTAAGTCTGTGGGAATTGGATACTTCATTTTGCTGGGTTTGGGATTTATAGCTAGGCAAGGTATAAGCAAGTGATTACCTTAGCTTTGAGGCTGAGAGGACATGTAGTGCTCAGCTTGACTCCAATTTTCAGCCTTTCTGTGGCCCCCAACCATGGTGACTGTGACTTGTGGGGGAAGAGAAGTGGCCAGGATCCCTGTGACTCTCTTTTGTGGCTTCCTTCAATCTTCTTTGCTTACCAGTACACACTGGCAAGAGAGAGCCCACACCAGCACCTGCTTTCTGGCAGAACACCAGGCCCCAGAGGGCCCCACAGAGGAGGTCCTGGAACTTGTCCCCTTGATGTGAAAATGATATTTTCTCTTCCTCCCCTGCCAAGATGGATTTCCAACCCCTGGGCCTCTAGTCCTTTGTTCTCATCTCATTTTCTTTCCTGTGTTTATTTTTGTCCCACTCCTTATCCCAGTGCCTACACACAGAATCCAACTTGCCTCACCCTGAGGAAACCAGTTGTTCATAAAGCATTCTTAGGATATGTGCTTTAAAGTTTCGAAATGTGAGACCAAACATAAGATGGGGAATTTTGTGGTTTGCTCAGCCAGGGATTGCCCCCTCCCTTCCCCTAACCCCATTCTCTCCCTGCCCCTCCCCTGAACCTTCTCTGCTCTCTCTATTGAGGGCCCTGTGCTTACCTGTGTGGCTGTGGTTGCATTGCCATCCCTCTCTCTGGGTACTACCCTTGTAGTATCCCTCACTGGCAAGTGCCAGTGCCCCTTGCCTTTCTGCCTGCCAGTCTGAATGGGCTGTGGGCCAGTGTCTTGTGTGCCCAGGCTAGAAGAGAGCAGCCCATAGTCCAAAGTCCTGTTCTCCCTATTCCTTTTTTCCTGATGCCTGTGTTCAACCCAGAGAACAACGATGCTTCTCAAAGACCCTATGGACCTAAGACTTCTAGAAGCCCCAGAGGAGAGGCAGAAGAGGGATTTGGCCTTAGTTGTGTTTGATGTGATGGGAGGTAAAGAGGTAAAGAAGCCAGCGCTTAAAGTATCACTTAACTAGTGCTTACCCTAGTAGGTATTCAGTAAGTATTGACTGGGTGGATGGATGGACAAAACATGTTGGATGGATGTATAGCTGAGATGCTTGCCACAATTATAAGGCCCAGAACAGTGGGAGTTTGGCCCCACTTTAAACAACCCCAACCATTCTTCCCCTGCTGACTCTACAGATCCAGACACCCTGGCTCTACTTGCTCTTTTGCTGTTTTACAGGATCTTACAGTGCTAGCCAGGGTGTCAACTGCATCCGTGAAGATGTGGCAGCCTATATCACTAGGAGAGATGGTGGCGTGCCTGCGGACCCAGACAACATTTACCTGACCACTGGAGCTAGTGATGGCATTTCTGTATGTGTGGGTGTGATCCATTCTTATCTACTGTTTACTCACATGAAGAACAGCTTTGTATGTGAAGGTCTAAATATTTAGCTGGCTGTCAGGGAGACAGTTGGCATGGAGACTGGTCTTTCTGTCCCGATAGCTTATAGTACTGACCTTTTAGACTTCATAAACCAGATTACTACTGCAGCCTTGACTTCCCTCCAGAGTACATACCAGCAGGTAGTGGAGAGGGATCGTGGGACACTTAAGGCTGCCCTTTGGCCTCTCTGTCACTCAGCGAGTGCTGGAGTTCCTCCTCTGCCAGGCACTGTGCCAGGTGCTAGAGAAGTCTTCCACAACAAACATGTCATTTAGGCTCTGCCTATACACTAGTGCTGAGCAGATGACTATTAATGTCATAGAAATAAACATCACATCACTAGTTTTCAGTTTCTCTTCTACCTGGAAGAGGAGGAAGTGCCATAAGAAGGAGCAGCAGTGACTCTGGTATGGTAGGAGGGGGTCAGGAAGGCTTTTCCAAGCAAGGCTCAGATACAGAGGGAACTTGGAAGACTGGAGAAAGGGGTGTGTTCTGAGCTGAAGATCAATGTGAGCTGGAGGAAGCATAGCATTTGGAAGTAGAAAGACAGGAGGAAAGTGACAGGACATGCAGTGAGAGACAAATACAGAAACAGGGCTGTGGAGGCAGATGATGGCTGAGCCCTGCCGGGGCTGAGAGGGCATGCTCAGGATTTGTGTCATTGTCCTAAGAACTTTGGGGAATTATTTTATTTTATTTTTGTTGGTTGTGGGCCTCGAACTCTGGGCCTGAGCACTGTCCGTCAGCTCTTCAGCTCAAGTCTAGCGCTCTACCACTTGAGCTATAGCACCACTTTCGGTTTTCTGGTGGTTTATTGGAGATAAGAGTTTCACAAACTTTCCTGCCTGGGCTGGCTTTGAACTGCGATCCTCAGATCTCAGCCTCCTGAGTAGCTAGGATTATAGGCGTGAGCCACCGGCGCTCAGTTTACATGACTCAATATTCTTAAGTTTAAACTTTGGCCTGGCTAGGAAGAGCCTCATAAGGGATGTGAGGGAGCATTAAGGATTGAGAGAAGAGGTGGTTCTGAATTGGGGGTCAGCCATGGATTGGTAGGGAGACTAATGTCAGTGGTTATTTGTTCCAGCAGTCCAAAATCTTGGACTTGGGAAACCTGTTGCGCTCGCTCCCCTCTCCCTGCCTTTCCCCTGTGCACCTTCCCCTCTCCAATGTCCCTTCTCTCCTCTCTTCTCTATTCCTTCTCCTTTCTCCCCTCTACACCTCCCCCACCCCTCTTTCAGTGCTAGCATGGAATCCCAATTCTCTCCCTGATAGGCAAGTGTTCTACCACTGAGCTATATACATCCTTCTATTCCTTTTGTCAGATTCCTCCCTAGGGCTTAGTCCAGTGCTAGGTGCTGTTAACTCATTTAGTCTCTCTATTCAGGGAGCCATGTACTATCTGGTCCTCTCCTGATTGGAGTTATGTTTGTCTCCTGACCTCAAAGACTCCTATTTTTGATGTTGAGTACTTGGTTCCTTTCCCCAAAGCCATTCACATAAATACATTAAACTCTTACATGGGCTCATAAGAACAGGCTCAGAGATATTAAATAGCTAATCAGCTTTGTGCCATTCTTGTGACATTTGGGATTCTGATGTTGGAACTCCAGCCCCCAATGACAGCACCTTCCATTTCTTGTACTGTTAAGCCCCCTCTCCATTCCCTGAGAAGCAGAGTATTGGCCAGGTCCTGGAGGAGAAAAGGGAGTTATCCATAAGATTTAGTGAAAATTTTCATTGCATTTTGCAATCTTGTGACTTAAAAAAATCTCTTTTCTACTAATTTTTAAAATTAATTTATTGTTATTACAAATTACAATTATAGATTACAATTACATGAGTTAGTTAATAAGTACATTGCCTTTCATACAGTGTCTTCTGTTCTCTTATTCTTTCCCAGTCCCTCCTGTCTCCACCTACAAGTTATATAGTTCACTTTCATCAACATCCAGTGAGCTCCATTGTTGTACTGTGTATATATATATTTTTTTTATTGTAAAGATACTGTACAGAGAGGGGTTACAGTTACATGAGCAAGGTAATGAGTCCATTCCCATTGCTACACCCTCCTTTATTTTTCCTCTACCATCCCTTTCTTCCCCACCTCCCCAACTACACCCCCCCCAAAAAAAAAAGTTGTAAAGTTTGTTTTCAACATACTGTCTTGTATATCTCATTGTTACAATGGGTCATCCTGTATCCTTATTTCAGCATTTTGTTATTTCCCTTCCCCTCCCCAAATTAGAAAAATGTATATACAAGATGCAAGACACCAGAGTCAAATACAGTGACAACAGGGGTTGTACCATGGGGGCAGAACATACAAAGAAACAAACAAAACAAAATCACATAGTACATTTTAAGTACATTAGAAAGAACAGCAACAAAGATAAAATCTCTTGTGTCCCTATCTTGGGGTTCATCATTGCTGTGTTTTTTTATCCTTTTTCCCTTGAGTTGGTGACCTTCTAACAAGAAACTTGAGCATCCTGAAATAGGACTTCTGCCCACGTGTAAGATGAGGCTTCTCCCTACAGAGGGTTTTGGCTTATTAACTCAAAGAATTATTACCACCTCCACCAACACCCCACTGGTTTCTCACAGCTTGGATTCTCAGGAATCCCACAAACCCTGCATAGCTTTGAAAACAGGTCAAATCGCCATCTGGTGGCAGTGAATGGGTATTTCATCTCATTTCAACTGTCTATTCCCAGGTCTTTCCAACCCTGGGCAACTGATGTTTATAGATAAGGCACCCTTTCAGGCTGAGGTTAGACTAATGCTGAGAAAGAGTGGTTTCAGGACTTCTGTTTCTGAAGTATTAAAAATACTAACAAGTACTGAGTGTTCAACTGAATGCCACACACTCTGCCAAGAACATTATAATGTTCTACTTCGCTTATTCTTAGAGCAGCCCTTATTTTACAAATGAGGAAACAGACTCAGGGATGTGAAACAACTTTCAGGTGAAAGGCTGAGGTTCAGACTGATCACATTTGTGTGGTTCTCAGTTTCCAAAGGTTGGAAGAGGGGCAAAGAACCCTCTAGCAGTGATTTCTTCATTGCAGACAATCTTGAAGATCCTCGTCTCTGGTGGTGGCAAGTCACGGACAGGAGTGATGATCCCAATCCCTCAGTATCCCCTCTACTCAGCTGTCATCTCTGAGCTCGATGCCATCCAAGTGAACTACTACCTAGATGAGGAGAACAAATGGGCACTCAATGTGAATGAGCTCCGGCGGGCAGTGCGGGAGGCCAAAGACCACTGTGACCCCAAGGTGCTCTGCATCATTAACCCTGGGAACCCCACAGGTCTGTATTTAACTCATTTGCCACTTTCTTAGGGGGTGAGGGTAGCTGAGGTACTGCTCCCAGTTTCCCAATCCAATTCTAGGATTTGCTAAAATAAACTGTAAGCTTTTCCTCAGGTGGCCCCAGGGAGTGAGTAAACACAGGCAGTTTCTTTAGCAGAGTTTTATTATTGGAACCAGTTCTTTTTCTTCTTCCTGTTCTCCTCCCATTTGCCAAAACTAGTCTCCTTGAGATTATTCATGCACAAATGGTTATCATTGATCCTACGCCTTCATTTATTTTTACTGCCACTTGTTTTTCTGAACCAGTTTTTAGAAGGTTGGTGTGAACATTTTTCTCTTTGATACATCATTGCCGTGTCATTCCTTGAGTCCCGGAAAAAGAAATGGCCCTAACCAGAACAAAAACAAATAAGCCAAAAAAACAAAACAAAACAAAAAGCCTATTTCTAGAAGTTGAAAAGCATCCCCTCAAATACTCAGTGCTGAGTGACTGTTTTGATCTTTCCGGGCTGCTGGCTTCATATGCCTCCAGTACTATTTGGATGCAGAGAACAAGGGCTTCTCTTTCCTCCTTTGTTGAGATAAATTGGATCTGGGCCCAAAATGCATTGGAGTTCATTGTATAATCTGCTTCTCTGGAACATTGGATGATGCTTCAACAAACTGAAAGCACCACTTGAATTTCTGAGTGCAGAAAGGGGGTGCAGCTGGTGGGGCACTGGTTTATTTTGCCAATGCCTTCAGAGAAGGGATGAAGGCTACCCATGATACTGTGGGTAAGTGACACAGAATCACACTGTCAACCTGGGCTGTAGGTCAGAATCACGAGGGAGTTGTGGAGATATCTCAAGACTAGGCTTTACCCCAGGCTCCCTGGGGATGTTTCAGGCATCTGTGTTCCTTGCAGTTGATAAAAATCAGCTGCATATGTATTTTGGGCTCAATTCCTGCATATTTTGATGTCATTGGACTGGGTAGAGCTTAGGAATTTTAATTTTTAAGCAGTTCTCAGGTTGGCGGACTGTAGTTGGAATAGCCAGTCATGTGAGAATCTTAGGTCCACATACACAGCCTACATTTGAATTAATACTTTTTTTGGCCAGGTGTTTACATGAATCTTTTCACCTAGCTATCTTGTGAAGAAATATTTTCCTGTTTTAAGTAAAGGGGGTCATATGAATGCATACTAATTAAAAAATTTGTGCAAAGAGCAACTATATGAGTGGGCAGAATCTGATTTTATGCTCTTGGGGCTTAAATTTTGTGGGTAAAAAATCAATTAGTTATTAGAAGAGGGATAATGGGAAATAGAAACCCTCCTGGGATGATTGTATCTTGTCTGGACCACACAATTTTGGTTAAGCTAGTCAAAGTGGGGCTTAAATTTTGTGGGTAAAAAAAATCAATTAGCTATTAGAAGAGGGATAATGGGAAATAGAAACCCTCCTGGGATGACTGTATCTTGTCTGGACCACACAGGTTTGGCTAAGCTAGTCAAAGTGGACTGGGGTATTTAGCTAGTACTCTTGTGTAGTTTCAAGATAGAAACCCAAGTCAAGACTAAAAGGATTGGATGGTGGAGCAGTGAAGTCCAGGGGTAAAGCAGGCCACCAGAATTTCCACCGTTGTCCTAAGAGCCTCAGTCCATCCCTCAGCTCTTCTGTCCTTTAGGTTGTATTTCCTCTCAGGAAAGACATGTTCTTGGAGCAATCTTCAGCTGCCCAGCAACGGAGCAACCTTGGAAGAGAGTTTCTCTCATGGTTTCACCAAAACTCCCAGACTGGATGTATACTTGGGCCAGTCTGCCCATTCTGGAATGTGGGCCGCTTGCCCATCTCTAAATCAGTCAAATCACTGGTCAGTTCTGTGTCACATACCCCTTGATAAGTAAACTCACAGAAGCGAGGGTTGTGCGGCAGGCACAAGCAATAGTTCATGGAGAATTCTTTGGGCCCAATCTCTGCTAAGGGGTTCTTGGGGTCCCCCCTTTACAGGCCTAGATCAAAGTTATATCTCATATCCCCTTCAGCTGAGCAGAGTTGTGCTAAGGCCTTTCTAAATACACATATGGCTTTTTTATCACTATCCATGTGTTGTCCCATTGGTGGCTTGGTGGAAATGCTCTGAGTGACAGCTGTGTTCATACACCAGGAAGAATTAAGCTGTGTCTTTATCTACAAATTTGCATATGTACATTTGTGGGAATGAGATTATTCACCCCCATTTGATCTCATTTCCTCTACTAAGCTGAGGACTTTATTCTTTCTTTCATTTCTTAAGACAGTCTTCCTTTGTGTAGTCCTCTGGTTCAGTCTCCTGAGTGCTGAGCTAACAGAGATATACTATTATACCTGGCCTAAGCTGAGGGCATTTTGACACCTCCTCCATCAGCTTCCTTTTATGTGGTTCCCTTGGTATGTTTTTATATGTCCTGATGCACAAATCCTTGTTTAAATTCTTAACAGGATGCACAATCACCTACCTGGGAGGGCAAGACCAGGAGGGTTTGTAAACAGCTTTAGCTCCCCCCCACCACACTCACCCCCAACCCCCGTTTCTGAGAACAATGGCTGGTTCCACATAGAAACCAGGGCCAAATGCCAATGGCTCATGCCTGTAATCCTAGCTTCTCAGGAAGCTGAGATCTGAGGATCATGTTTTGAAGTCAGCCTGGGCAGGAAAGTCTATGAGACTCTTTGATCTCCAATTAACCAACCAAAAACTGAAAGTAGAGCTATGGCTCAAATGGTAAAGTGCTAGCTTTGAGTGAAAAAGCTAAGGGACAGCATCTAGGACCTAAGATCATGCCCCAGTACTGGCACACACACAAAAAAAGGAAAAAAAGAAAGAAACCTGGGCCTGACACCCTCCTAGAGACCTGAACTTGCTAAATATGAAGCCCAGCTGTCACTTGTCAAGAGAAGTCAGTTCCTTAATGAAGAAATTGTTTTACAAATAGTTCAGGACATGCTAGGCACTGGTGGTTCACACTTACAATCCTAGCTACTCAGGAGGCTGAAATCTGAGGAACATGATTTGAACCCAGCCTGTGCATGAAAGTCTATGAGACTTCTTTTCTACTTAACCACCAGAAAACCAGAAGTAGAGCTATGGCTCAAGTAGTAAAGCATTAGCCTTGAGCAAAAGAAGCTCAAGGACAATGCTCAGGCCCTGAGTTCAAGCATACTAAACAGTTCAGGACAGAAATCCTGGCTAAATCATATCATGTTCTTAAAGTTACATTGTATGTCAGTAATTTGTATTTTCTTTATATACAAGATTATAAGCATTTTTAACAAAAGGTAACAGTTTATACAGTTTATATACTATTCTACAGTACAATATACATGTTTACACAATAACTTGCATATATGTGGGCAGATGTATACACTAAGATATACATCAACATACTAAACATACTATATATCTAGTTTAAAAACAGTCGTGAGTGTGTGTGTGTATGTGTGTGCCCACGTTTTTTTTTAATTTTTTTAATTTATTTTATTTTTATTTTTTTATTTTTTTTTATTTTTGGGTCTGGTCGTGGGGCCCGAACACTGGGCCTGGGTACTGTCCCTCAGCTCTTCAGCTCAAGACAAGTCCTCTACCACTTGAGCCACAGTGCCACTTGCGGCCTTTTTTTTTTCTTCTGCTTATGTGGTGCTGAGGAATCGAACCCAGGGCCTCATGCATGCAAGGCAAGAGCTCTACCACTGAGCCACCTTCCCAACCCAGTGTGCCCACATATGTGTGTGGGTGGTATGCTGGGGCTTGAACTCAGCCTGAGCTATAGCCTTTAGGTCATCACTCAATGCTGGTTGCTCTATCACTTGATCCACAGCTCTACTTTGGGATTTTTGGTGGTTAATGGGAGATAAGAGTCTCAAGGAGTTTTCCTGTCCAGGCTGGCTACCCATGATCCTCAGAGCTCAGCCTCCTGAGTAGTTAGCATTACAGGTGTGAACCACTGGTACCTGGCTTAACAACATTCCTTTTAAGGAAATTGGCAAGCTTGATGGTAGCGGTGCTTTCCCAGAGGATAGTGTGAGAATACCAGCCACTCTAGTGCCACAGTCTCAGATAATATTGTAGAAAGATTCTATTTCCACTTTCTTGCCTTTGTTGTTTGGCTCACTTGTACTTGTGGCCTGTCCTGTGAGTGGCTGGGTTATTGGCTTCTTGTCTGCACTTGTTTCTCTGAAATGGCTATCTTTCCTGCTAGTGTTGATTCCAGTCCTGAAGCGGGGAAGAGGCTGACCCCAGGACAAACGCAGCATGCTTGTCATGTTCTTTCACAATGTCTAGCTCTCCTTTCAGCTCACAGGAGACACTAACACTGGTGTCCAGGTTCATTCATTTAGCATTTGTTCTGCAAATATTTATTGAATATCTGTTAAGTGCCACCTCGAAGGGTCAATGATGAGGTAGGATAGACCCTGTCCTTGGCTTAGAGAGCTTCTCTGTGCCTGTTTTGGGAGAAAGTGTTTCCAGAAATCTCAGCAAATTACTCAGTTACCATATTAGCTAGTGTGGTCGTCCCATTATATCACTGCTGGTGCATATTAAAGAGAGGAAGGGTGAGCTTTAGTTTTATTTTTCTGCTCTTTATGATATTTCAATGTCTTCATATCCCCCAGAACAAATCAAATACTATGTACATACACATGCATCTACACCGACACAGACTCAAAGCAACAGCAAAAGTCAGGCACCTATATTGGTGGATTAGGCCTATATTCCTAGCTTCTCAGGCCTGGGAAGACAAATCTGTGCAACTCTCTCCAATTACCAGCAAGAAGCTCAAATAGTACAGCATCAGCCTTGAGCAAAAAAGCCAAGTGAGAACATGAGGCCCTGAGTTCAAGGGCCAGTGCCAAAACAAACAATAAAAAGAAATGAAAGAACAGAAAGAAAGTTGGATATGAACCAGTACCATACACTTGGCTTCAGTGGGATCCCTGGAGATGGACCTTTCACCAACATGCACACAGCTAGATGGGTGGTCTCTTAGAGTCTCAAAGAACACAGGACACTAAGTGATTGTGGGTGGGATTCTGACCTGGGACAATTTAAACATTGTTGCAACCTATATTTTGGTTTTCTTGGGGATTTATAGGCCAGGTACAAAGCAGAAAGTGCATAGAAGATGTGATTCACTTTGCCTGGGAAGAGAAGCTCTTTCTCCTGGCTGATGAGGTAAGAGCAGTCCCAGCTCCCTCTCAGAGATGGGTGGGGATGAGTGTTCCTTTCTAGGGGAGGGATCCAGATCTGATTGTTCTGAAGCCAGAGAGAACTTTCTAGGTATTGAGGAGTGATTCTGGCCCAATGGCAAAAATGTTTATTTTGTAACCTATGACTCTGTAACCTAATTATCCCTATCTTGGCTTTAATTGTAAATTTCAGAAACTTAACACAGATTACTTAAACTTTGGGAAGAAAAAAGATAAAGAGGAAAAGATGTTAGGGCCATGGGAGTGTTGCTAGAAGCAGGAATTCAAAACATGCCTTCTAAGCTCTCTCCTTTCTGCTCTCTCTGTTGGCCTCAGACACAGATCTGTTACCTTTGCAGACAAGAAAGAGGGCTTTCATCCTGGCAGTTTCAGCAGAAGTCTGTTGTGACTCATTGATTGAGCTTAGGTCACAGCCTGATTGCAGATTGGCTAGACTCAGAGCAAGGAATAGTATCTTCCCTGTCCTCCCCAAACCTCCAAATAGGATGTGGGAGAGGAGGAGAAAAACTGGGGAACTCTTACTGGAAAAGGAAAGAAGGTTGCCCCATGAAAGCAGTGATTGATGTCTGCACCTCATAAGGAGCAGTTGTGTCTCCTGCTATTTCCATAGCTTCCTTCTCATTTCTCAGTCTATGAGAAGGTCTTAATTAGTCCCATACTGTTGCTTCATGAACACCAGTTCTGAAGTGAGACCTGCCCATTCTTTTTCTGTTTTGCAAGGAAGAAATGAGGATCTATCCAATTCCATTTTTATTTCATCTTCATGTTTGCATAGTTTCTTGTTAGTTGTAGTTTCTGGAACACTACCTTCATTTCTTTGCTTCTTAGGATCCCTATCCTACCCCAACACACAAACAACTTACCTACCAAATGTTGCCATAATTAATTATAGATGGTTATAAAACCTTCATTTCTACAGGAGGGAAGGGCAACACAGAGGCTCATGGTTTTCCTTGTGACCTGGTATATGAACCTCCCCACTGGGCAACACAGAGGCCCATGGTTTTCCCTGTGACCTGGTATATTAACCTCCCCACTGGGTCTTGAAGGAAGAAGCCGGGAGGACAATGCTGGGCCTGTGGAGCCCATTGAACCTCCTACTGACCTTCAGAAGCCCAGGAAGCCATTTTTTTTCCTGATCTCAAAAATTAGTGTGCAAAGTTAATTTCAAGGGTCAGAGTAGGGTGCTGGTAGGCTGTGAGTGCTAGATTGGGGGATAGGGAAGAAGAAAATGGACGTTCTGCTCTGGCAATGAGAAGTGGAGAGAAAAAGAAAATGATTCTAGTTAAGTAAGAGAGGAAACCCAGTAAGGTTAACTCCTTCAGTGGGGAGTTCAAAGAATAAGCACTGCCAACATTTCCTATCTTTAAAAGAAGTACGTTTTGTGCTTTAGGAAGAAAAATGTACTTGGGAAGATGGGAATCCTCAGTGTCGTGGGTAGAATATTCCTTAGAAAAAGTTTGGAAGTGGTGTGAGGATGAATGTGGGAGAAAGCCAAGTGAGCTCCTAAGCTTTGTCAAATTCAGCATCTAGTCTGAGACATTTCTTCCTTGCTTGTTCTGGAAGGTTCCTTCAGGTACAATCTCGTTTATCCCTGGAAGTAATGCTTATCTCAGGCTGGGCTGGCTAACATGTTCAGGGCTGGGCCCTGTGACCTACCCCGCGACCACAGGTTAACTGAGCATTTGTGCCCACCCTTCCTCAGCTTTGGCACCCTGAACCTAGCCTTTATAGGCCCAGGCTCTCTGAAGCAATGTCCCTGTCATGTCCTCCCCTGCAGGTATACCAGGACAACGTGTACTCTCCGGACTGTAGATTCCACTCCTTTAAGAAGGTGCTTTACGAGATGGGGCCTGAGTATTCCAACAACGTGGAGCTCGCTTCCTTCCACTCCACCTCTAAGGGTTACATGGGCGAGTAAGTTGGCATTGGCCTCCCTTTGCCCCTGGGCTTGCCTGGACCTGCTACTGTCCCTTATCAACTTGCTTTTCTGCTCTATCCTGTAAAGAAAGCAGACCTTCTCCATTACTTCTGTGATCTAAGAATCAAGAGGAGAAAGGCTGCACCTCTCCTAGGGGAAGCCCTCATGCAAGGGTTCAACTGAAATCCAAGCATGCCTGAAAGAAATCAGACTGTGGATAAAAGATGGAAATAAAGCTGGGTGCTGGTGGTTCATGCCTATGATGCTAGTAGCTACTCAGGAGGCTGATATCTGAGGATCACTGTTCAAAGCCAGCTTGGGCTCTGTGGCTCAAATGATAAAGCACTAGCCTTGCATGAAAAAGCTAAGGGACACACCCAGCCCTGAGTTTGAGCCCCAGAACCAGCACAAAAGAAAAATAAAAGAAAGCAGGCTTTGGCAGGAGCTCCCAAAACTGATAATTTTCTGCCTCCCTATTTCTGTTACTCTGACATTAAGGGGCCAAGGAGGGCAGGTTGAGTAGAAAAACAAATACCATTTAAATCAATGGGCCAAGCACTGTACCCAAGGCTGCCTGAGGGCTAGGTGACTTCAGGGGTGAAAAGGTCAGATTCAGTGCTGTATTTTTCATTTGGCTAATATTTACTGAGTACCTATTCTGAGTTTAGTACTGATTTCAACATGGAGGACCCAACAGTAAACACACAGCCTTCACAGAGCTGATATGCTAGGGAGGGAAAGAGACAAGAGAGAAAAAGTGAAGACATGTGATAGATGGAGAACAAGTCTCAGAGAAGATGCAGGAAGGCCAGGAGGTGGAGATAAAATGCCCGGAATGAGCCTTAAGTAGTGAAGTTGGCATTTGAGTTAAGACCCAAAGAAGATACCTGGCTAAGAGCATTCCATGCAGAAGTAACAGTGCATGTAAAGATTCAGAGGAAGACGCATGCATGGCTTGTTGGAGGAATGGCAAGGCGGCTAGAAAGGATAAATTAGAGGGAAAGTGGTAGAAGTTGAGACCAAGGTCATAGGAAGTCAGATTGCTTGGGCCACATGGTGTACTACTTTTTGCTTTTACTAAGAGTGAGATGGGAGCCACTGAAGGATTTTAGTGGAGCTGTGACTTTACCTGACCGGTGTTTTACTAGACTTCTTTTTTTTTTTTTTGGTCCGGTCGTGGGGCCTGAACTCTGGGCCTGGGCACTGTCCCTCAGCTCTTCAGCTCAAGGCTAGCGCTCACCACTTGAGCCACAGCTCCACTACTGGCTTTTTCTGCTTATGTGGTGCTGAGGAGTCGAACCCAGGGCCTCAGGCATGCAAGGCAAGCACTCTACCACTGAGCCACCTTCCCAGCCCCACTAGACTTCTTCTGGTTGCTCTCTAGTAGGGGATGGGGCAAGGGCAAGGACTCACTACCAGAGGTAGTGGGGAGAAAATCCACAATATACTTGAGCCAGGCACAGTGTCTCATACCTGTAATTCTAACTATTTTGGAGGTGAGAGCTGAGGATTGTGGTTTGAAGTTAGCCTGGGCAGGGAAGTCCCATTAACCAGGTGTGGTTCAAGTGATAAGAGTACCAGGCCCTGAGGTCAAGTCCCAGGAGTATTACAATCAATCAATCAATCCAGGGGATTAGGTGTAGTTCAGTTGGTAGACCACTAGCCAAGAGCAAAAGCTGCAGGTACTGAGTTCAAGTCCCTATCTTGGACCTAAAAATAAACACAAAATATACTTGGGGACAAACAGATGAGGAAGGTCTAGAGGGAGCCCTAGAATTTGGCTTTGGACACGTTACACTTACAAATGCCTGTTTATGTCCAGCTAGAGCTGGAGGTATAAATCTAGATCAGGACTGACATCTGGCTGGAGATGTAATTTTGTAGGCATTAGTCTCTGGCTTGCTGGATCACTGGAACTGTAAGCCTCACATGGAGTAAGTACAGCAAAGAAGCCAAGGATTAGGCCTGGTCTCCCCTGCTCAGAGGCTGGGAGAAGAGGAGATTGAGAAGAAAAGATAATGTGTTCATTTACCATTAAGAGCATCTTTCTCACAGGCACGAGTGGCTCATGCCTGTAATCCTAGCTACTCAGGAGGCTGAGATCTGAGGATTGTGGTTCAAAGACAGCCAGGGCAGGAAAGTCCAGGGAGACTCTTATCTCCAATAAACCACTCAGAAAACTGGAAGTGGTGCTGTGGCTCAAGTGGTAGAGTGCTAGCCTTGAGCTGAAGAGCTGAGGGACAGAGCCCATGCCCAGGGTTCAAGCCCCATGACTGACCAAAAAAAAAGAGAGAGCATCTTTCTCACCGCTGGGATTCTTTTGGGTGCCAGGTGTCAGCATGGGGAAGGTACTCATTTGGGAGACTGGAAGCCAGTGTAACTAAAGTTGGAAGAGATATTTTGGCCTGGTCAAGAAGCTATAATGATTGCTTGGCTGTTCTGTCTGGTCTTACCTGGGTAGCAATGCTGGCTTCTGTGTGCTATGTAGTTTTTTTCCTAAACTTTTCTATAGTCATCATGCCTATAATCCTAGCTACTCAAGAGGCTGAGCTCTGAGGATCAGCCCTGGCAGAAAAATCCATGGTACAGTCTCCCAATTAACTACCAAAAAGCCAGAAATGGAACTATGGTTCAAGTGGTAGAGTACCAGCTTTGAGTAAAAAACTCAGGGACAGTGCAGAGGCCCTGAGTTCAAGCCCCATTACTAGGACAAAAGAAAAAGTAAAAGATCTTTCCATAATTAGTGAATGTGTATCCTCTTCTCAACCCTCCAGGTGTGGCTATAGAGGAGGCTACATGGAGGTGATCAATCTACACCCTGAGATCAAGGGTCAGCTGGTAAAGCTGCTTTCTGTACGTCTGTGCCCACCAGTGTCTGGACAGGCTGCCATGGACATTGTTGTGAATCCCCCAGTACCAGGAGAGGAATCCTTTGAGCAGTTCATCAAGGTAAGTTTGTTGTGACCTGTCTATGTACTGCTACTGTTAAGTCACTGGTGAATTCCTACCATGAGTGATCTGATGGTTTGCCTGTCTCTAGATAGCCATATATCTACTGGTATTTGTTGATATATGTTTCTCTCTCTTAGTCTGTTTGTCCCTATCCACCTTCCGTGGACCTTCTTGGTACCTGATCTTCTGTTAGTTGGTTGAGTCTGAATTTTTAAGTGGGATGATTATGCATGTGGTTAGATAGACGCATCTTCTTCTCTACCTGTCCTCATAGGCACCTATAGGGGAAGAACTTGCATCCTGATAACACATTGAGGGATTCTGTCAGTAAGCTGAAAAAGAAGGGGAAGTGTGGACACAATATTGTTTTAAGTCAGGGCTTACCTCTATCCTAACCAGGCATCCCCACAGCTCGACACCATCCCGTCATACACACTGAGAACCTAACTGATTAGCTTTAACAGCAACAACAACAAAAAGAAGAAAAAACTGATGACACTGGGTATGGTGGTACATGCTTAGCCCAAGCTCCTCAGTAGGACCTCTACAGTCCAGGAGTTTAGGACCAGCCTAGTCAACATACTGAGACACTCAAAAAATGAAGCCAAACCAAAATGAAAAAACAAGGAACCTATGAGTCATGTAACCTAGAGGTCAACTCTTTTCTGGTCTAGACTCAAAACCTTTTTTTTTAAGTATGTGGGAAAGACATTTATATATATATATATATATATGTGTGTGTGTGTGTGTGTGTGTGTGTTTTATATATAATTTATTATATATGATATTTATTACACATATTACATATTATATTTATATGCCTATATATAGATATTATATATATAATATAAATATATATTTATAAATGTACTTATGTTTATATATTTATAAATGTATATATGGTATATAAAACCACTTTTAAACATAACAGTTTAAAAATGTGTGACCTGCACAGGTAACAGTTACCTTTTGGACTGATAGTTGAGTGCCATGTCACTGTATGTCTATATCACACTATTTATCTGCTCATTGGCAGGCTTATCCCTCTATATGTCCCATTCCCAACAATATTTGCAGAAGTCCTTGACACTTCTGCTCCTGGCTGGACACAAGTGTAAGCTCTGGACCAGCCCAGACTGATTTGCTTTGCCTGAGTCTGTGTTCTATGCACACATCGCACAGATTGGGATTGGGAAGGTATCTTTGCAAATGACATGGTGGAGTCTATCTTTGGAAGATTCATGGCATCTAGAAATATCTTTAGTTTGTTCTACACAAAGAGTTGGTCACCTTCCTCTGTGTCCTCCATACCCAGCTTCAGAGTACATGATACAATGAGATACTCAGTTTGGGGCTCATGTAGATGAACTGAACTGGCAAAGACAGTTTCCTATCAGGTCCCAGGACTGGACTTAAATTAGAAAGATTTTTCCAAACAAAATTGTAAGAATGAATGTTTAATCGTTTTCTAATAAGCAAAAAAAAAAATCAGACTGTACAAACTAATCCTAGGTAATGAAGATCTGAGAAAAACAGAGCTTAGTGACATCCAGAATATTTGTCAAAAAATTAATCCATATCAGAGATGGAGAGATGGATAGGTATATGATAAAATAGGTTGATTCAACAGGATAGGGCTGGTTTTGCTCATTTTCACTGTCATCCTTGTGCAAGAATAGAATCCAGGACACAGGCCTTCTGGGATCTACACTGTGGCCTGAAACCCACCATGTATTTATGTGTCCAGCATAGTTGGTAGTCTTCTGGGCTGAGAATGCTGTGGCAAATGTCCTACAGAAGGCTTGTTCTACTCACCTTCCTGATCTCAGCACTTAGGCACCAACAAGCTCATCTTTTCTCAATCTACAGTTGCTGGACATAGAAGAAAATACCTTCTTTATTGAGACACTGATTCTTGCCCTTTCTCTCTTTCCTCAGGAGAAAGAGTCTGTCCTGGGTAATCTAGCCAAGAAAGCAAAGCTGACAGAAGACCTGTTTAATCAAGTCCCAGGAATTCATTGCAACCCCTTGCAGGGAGCCATGTATGCCTTTCCTCGGATCTTCATTCCTGCCAAGGCTGTGGAGACAGCTCAGGTCTGGGACACTGCTGGGTTGGTCTCTCCCTAGGTTTACTTTCTACAATTGGGTCCTGGGTAGTTTCCTGCACTGGGGAGTAAAGGTGTTGGTTATAAGGGTTCTGAACTTTGGGGCTGGGAAGGTGGCTCAGTGGTAGAGCACATGCCTTGCATGCCAGAGGCCCTGGGTTCGATTCCACATAAGCAAAAAGAAAAAAGCTGGAAGTGGCGCTGTGGCTCAAGTGGGAGCGCGCTAGCCTTGAGCTGAAGAGCTGAGGGACAGCGCCCAGGCCCAGAGTTCAGGCCCCATGACCTGACCCAGAAAAACAAACAAACAAAGAGTTCTGAACTTTGGGGACCTCTTGGGCTTGTTTTCAGATCATTATGTAGATTGGTACAAAGGCAATTGCTGTCAGTGGCTGGAAGATAGTGTTATGAAGAGAACAGGCTGGCACTCCCTAGAGAAGGACGGAGGTGCCATAGCCACTGGCCATCTTGCAACAGCCTCAGGTATCTGGTTCCTGGCACCAGCTACTAGCTGTAATCCAACTTCTTGTCTTGCTCTGCCTGCAGGGAAGAGACAAGGACCCTGCCTAGGAACAATAATCTGCCAATTAGATTATGTATGTTTTGAATTTTGAATGGTGAGTTGGTATTTGTGAAGGCAAGAAGGAATCTGAAGTTCTCCCCTGCTCCCACAGGCCCATAAAATGGCTCCAGACATGTTCTACTGTATGAAACTCCTGGAGGAGACTGGCATCTGCGTGGTGCCTGGCAGTGGCTTTGGACAAAGGGAAGGCACTTACCACTTCAGGTATGATACTCTACTCTTTCTCCTGGGATCATTGGGCTTCTTAACATGGAGCATAGAGTGGCTCCTCAGAGACTGTGGAATGGTGAGGCAGCCAGCTGCTTTGAATAAATGTCACTCATCTCAACACTTCCTTCTATTTTGTTGCCAAGAAATAAGAAAACAGATCTTCCTTGACTGTTTGGTCTCCCCTTCTATTTCCTCCATCTGTCTTATCACTTTTGGAAATTGGAATTCAAGGCCTTGTGCTCAGGGTTTTGGCTCCTGTCTGGTATTCTACCACTTGAGCCACTCCTCTAGTCGAGCATTTTCTTTTGCTAGTACTGGGGCTTGAACTCAGGGCCTGCGTACTGTCTCTGAGCTGCTTTTGCTCAAGGCTAGCATTTTACCACTTGAGCCACAGCACCACTTCTGGCTTCATGCATGCTAGGCAAGCACTCTACCACTGAGCCACCTTCCCATGCCATTGTCCAGCTTTTTTTTGTGTGTGTGTGTCAGTCATGGGGCCTAAACTCTGGGCCTGGCACTGTCCCTCAGCTCTTCAGCTCAAGACTAGCGTTCTACCACTTGAGCCACAGCACCACTTCTGGCTTTTTCTGTTTATGTGGTGCTGAGGAATTGAACCCAGTGCCTCATGCATGCAAGGCAAGCACTCTACCTCTGAGCCATCTTCCCAGTCCTGTCCAGCATTTTTTATGGTTATTTGGAAGACCAAGGCTCATGGACTTTGAACCTTGGTCTACTGAGTAGCTAGGATTACAGCCATGAGCCACCAGTGCACACCTATTAGTGTGTTTTCTTCTTTATCTCCTTGCCCTTTTAAAAGTCCATAATGGTGCATGCAGATGCTCAGGACAGTGTCTGCACATGGTGGCATGCCATAGCTCCTTGTTTGCACAATGGGACCTGGTACTACTGTGAGTCTCAAATCCTGCTGATGCTTCACTGACAGGAATTAGCTTACTTACTTATGAGACCTTTCCCAGGCGCACCCTGACTCAGCCTCCTCGCCCATGCAGATGAGAATGTTCAGCTCCTAAGCTGATCTATTCCTCGTGGGCTTCCCACAGTTCCCCACAGTTTTGTTTCTTTTGGGTGTTTCCTGTGCAGATGCTAAAAAGAGAAATAACATGAGCTGCTGACTAAAGATGAAGTCTTACTTAATCAAGATTATAGGTAATAACCGGGCTTGGTCCTGTAATCCTAACTACTTGGGAGGTGAGATTTGAGGGTTGTCATTCAAGGCCAGCCTAGGCACAGAAGTTTGTAGACTCTATCTCAACCAATGACTGGGCATAATGGCACACACCTATCATCCCAGCTGTAGAGGAAGCACAATGGATGGGTGATATGGGTGGGCAACACAATGAATGGGTGGTATACTCCTTCATTCCCAGTTATACAAGCACAAACAGAAGGCTCAACGCCCACACTGATCTGGGCATAAAAAAAAGACCCCCTACATTCAAAATAACCAATGCAAAAAGGGACTGGAGGCATGACTCAAATGGTAGAATGCCTGCCCAGTAAGCATAAATCCCTGGGTTCAAATCCCCAGTACTGCAAAAGAAATAAAAAAGAAGATTATAGGTTGTCTCCCAGCAGGATGAACCATTTCTAATTCGCCTTTTCTCCTTTCTCTAAGTCAAGCTCCTTTCTTCATGGCCCATTCAGAAAGTGCTGCTGGGATTGGAGTAGCCAGTAACAGAACATATGCCAAGTTGGAGGCCCTGTGTTCTGTCCTTAGCACCCCCCTCAAAAAAGTGAAATTGAAGTGATTGCTTCTAGAGTTGGGAGGCCTGTTGACAGCTCTTGAGGGAAATGTTAGTTAACAGTGGACTTGGGAATGCCTTTGGAGTAAACTCACTGGAAGTTGTTTCTTTTAGAGACTGAGTGGTGGAAAGAAAGAAATGTGTATGTAGCACAAGTAAAAATTGTTCTCTGTGTGTAAGAGACTCAGAGTCATCCCCTAGAAAGTTTTGCAGATTAATCAAAATATGATACAGGACTTTTGTGGTAGTAGGTGAATGTGTCTTTCTAAATGCTATAATAGATTATTACTTTCATTTACATGTGTTACTTGGTTTAAAAAAATTAGCTATAAACTGAACTTGGTGGTTCATGCTTGTCATTTTAGCTATTTGGGAAGCTGATACAGGAGGATCACTGTCTCAGGTGTTCACAGCTAGCTGGATAAACATAGCAAGACTCTATTAGGAGAGAGGAAGAGATTTTAATAAATCCTGAGCACTGTCCTAGAGCTTGAGTTTTTAAAGCAGACCAGCCAGCCAGCCTTCAGTGGCTCACATCTGTAATCCTAGCTAGTGAGTATGCTGAGATCTGAGGATCGCAGTTCAAAGCCAACCCAGGCAGGAGAGTCTGTAAGACTCCTTTCTCCATTTAACTACCAAAAACCTAGAAGTGGAAGTGTGGCTCAAGTGGTAGAGTGCTTGATTTGAGTGAAAAAGCTCAGGGCCCTGAATTTAGCCCAGGCCCTAAATTCAAGTCTCAATACCAGTATACACACACACACACACGCACACACACACACGCACGCACGCACGCATGCCTGTCCTTCCTCACATGGCTTATCCTCACTTCTTGTAATGCAAGACCAGATGCTAGGTTGATTCCTCTTCCTTTTCCAGAGCAGATAGACTGATAGTTGTTCTCTTTCTTGACAGAATGACCATTCTCCCTCCAGTGGAGAAGCTGAAGACAGTGCTCCAGAAAGTGAAGGACTTTCATATAAAGTTCCTGGACAAGTATGCCTGAGGATGCCTCAGGCCCTGGAGGAGATACCTTCCTTGGGTCTCCTCCTGATGTCCACCCAGGACTCTCCCCTGACTGCCTCAGACCTCATGGAGATTGCTGGTTGTATTCATGGTTATTTTGCCCAAGAGACTTCCTTCCTTGTGCCTTGATGTTGGGAGCACTTCTCTTCTGAGAAAATGTAAATGCACCATGTCTCACAGGGCCTGATCTTTTAATGCAACTGCAGTAGAGAGGATTTGCTTAGCAGATGTGGCCAACGTGCTCAAACCACCTGTTACTTTTGGAAAGTTTCTTTGGTGTTAGAAGCAGCAAGGACATGTTGGGTGAGGTGTTTCAGATCTAGAGAAATGAGCAGGTGCTGGGAAATATATGGCTCCATCATGGTAAAGAATGAAAATCCAGTAATCAACATTGTGATATCTGAAATAAAGCCCTTAGTGGTGTAAAAATCCAGTCCTTCAGAGCCTGAGGTCCAGTGGGGGCCCACATCTTTCTGGCAGTCCATCTTGGACAAGAATGGGGATAGCAGGAGTGCAGGGGTAGAGCAGGTTACCAAGTTATGTTGTGGTAGACACTGAGGGATATGGCCAAGGTCAGAGGTCCTTTGAAGGTGTAGATATAGCTTCCAGTAGAGCAGTTTCCTCTTCTAAGCAATACAGCAGGTAGTGGGATTCAGTATACACTGAGTGCTTTGGAGTGAATTATACTCTTGAACATACTTAGGCCAAATCCCTGGTCTGAGTGATCTCAGTGGACTTTAGGGACACAGGGTATAGTCCAGCAGTATCACAGCTATGTGGAGCTCTTCCTGATAGCATTCTGATCTATCCTAGTAGAAGAACAGTGACAATTTTCTCAAGGGTTTGAGCAAGCCTTTTCACACATTGCCCCCTACTGGTGGCAGCTAAATCGACTGGAAATGGCCCTGAGCCAGATGTAGAATCCTTAAAGACTTGAGCAACAAGCAGGCAAGCCACTGTAGTTTCAATCTGAATTTTGGCCATTTTGGAGCTCTTAATTAGTAAACATTCTTGCTGTGGAGAAGTGAATGTGATCTGACTGAACATTGATGGAAGTGTTTTAACTGAGTGCAGAGTATTTTGCCTTTACTGCTCCTGCTGTCCCTTCTAACACTAGAGATGATATCCTAAAGCATCTGCCATCACTCCAGGCTGTACTGTTAGCATCTACCAAGCATGCAGCTTCCTTGATATCAGCAGTCTGGGGTGGAGCCAATTTCATGTCAAGGAAGCAGATAGAACAGGCTAAGTACATCCTCTTCCTTAAGAAGCCTTCTCCTTCCTCTCTGCCTTCTCCAGTGGAAAGTGAGGGAAGCAATGACCAGTTCAAGAGCCTGAGGACACAGCATGTCCCATTGGGGAAGTGAGGGAGCTAAAGAGAGAAATGAGAAGGGTTGCAGAATGAATTTGAAATTGGTCCTCCTACTATAAATTTTCCCTTTGTGCAGGGGAATTTAATTGCTCATTAGCATTGTAGTAGTTGTGAAGCAGCCACAAATCTCAGAGCAAAAGGGAATGCTCTGGAGCTTTTCCTTTCTTAAAAGTTAGAAAGGTTGTGCTTGTGCTTGCTGTTGTATGGCATAAAAGCCAGATATATCCCAGAGTCTTGAGATTTCTGGTGGAAAGGTTAAACAGGAGCAGCAAGTATATTTTTTATATTTTTGTAACAATTGTTTTTTTTCATTGGGGGAGGGGGGTGAAAGGGTTAGTATTTATAATCTTAACAAGTATGGTAATTTTTTATGTCCTCTAGATTATAAATAACCCACAAAACTTTGCAACGTTTACATGACTTTTAAAAAAATACTGTAAACACTTGGTTTGCTTTTAAAAATAAAAGAATAATAAGAACAGGTAGATTAGTTTCAGGTAAATATGATGACCACGATAGATTGGTTTTCTATAGATTCTCTCTAATGCTTTTCCTGTTCCGGCACTACCTAAGAAAGCTGTTTGTAACTTGGGGTCTCACTTTGACTGGACACCTGTGCAGTTTCTGTTGTTCACACAGATCTGCGCATGGGTGGCCAACCCTTGGCTCCTCCATCGCCTCCTGCCTTGAGGCCAGGCTGGCTGTTTCTGTTCTGTGTGGGGTTTTCAGGAAGAATAGTCACAACCTGCCCTTGGCTCTTTTCCAGTCTCAGTTCTCACAGGCATCTGACAAAGGTACACTGCTGGAAATTTCTAAACAATAAAATCTATGTCCAGAATAGTGGCTTGTGTTTAACTTTGTTATTTAAATCTAAAAATTGAATGGATATCACTATTTTTTTTTTTTTGCCAGTCCTGGGGCTTGAACTCAGATCTTGTACACTGTCCCTGAGTTTCTATTGCTCGAGGCTAGTACTCTACCACTTGAGTCACAACGCCACTTCCGCTTTTTCTGTTTGTGTGGTACTAAATAATTGAATCCAGGGCTTCATGCATGCTAGGGAAAGCACTCTACCATTAAGCCACATTCCCAACCCTGCTATCACTAATTTTATGTTTTTATTCTTTGATTTGGTTTTTTTTTTGTGTTTTTTGTTGTTGTTGTTTGTATTGGTACTAAGGCTTGAGCTCAAGGCCTAGAAGCTGTCCCTTAGATTTTTTTTCTCAAGGTTAATTTTCTGTCACTTGAGCCATACCTTCGCTTCTGCCTTTTTGCTGGTTAATAAAGGTCAGAGCTTCATGGACATTCCTGACAGACGTAGCTTTGAACTCAGATCTCAGCCTCCTGAGTAGCAAGGATTACAGATGTGAGGCACTAGTGCCCAGAGTATCTTCATTCTTTGTAATATATGTTTCTAGCAAACAACTTTGAGTTCAACTCCAGTGACACAGCTACATTTTCTTTTGTTGCTTGAAGTGAACAGATTATGGATTCCTTGGCATAAATATTCTATGAATATAGTCTGTGACTTTCTGGTAGAAGTGGCTCACACCTGTAATCCTAGCTACTCAGGAGGCTGAGATCTAAGGATCATGGTTCAAAGCCAGCCCATGTAGGAAAATTGTGAGACTCTATTCTCCAATAAACCACTAGAAAACCGGAAGTGGTGCTATGGCTCAAGTGGTAGAGCACTAGCCTTGAGCTGAAGAGCTGAGGGACAGGGTCCAGGCCCAGAGTTCAAGCTCTATAACCAGCACCCCCCCCTCCCTAAAAAACAAAAAACTGACATTGTCTTCATGGGGTGGAGAAGCCAATGAGTCCTGAGGGAGATGTCAACAGAAGGGATTATATTAGTTGTCCCCAGGTTTCCTATATCTACATTGGTTGTAATGTGTAGTTTTTACATCAAACCTCTCTAGACTAAACTGCTTAATTCTTTATTGAAGAAAATTTGGGATACAAAGGAAAACATTAAGACTCTTGGAATCATTAGGATTCTCATTAGCACAGTTTAAGCAGACTAGAGAAATACATTGCCTTGTACAGGTAGGAAAAGCTGGCTTGGCTTCTAGTGTTTATTATATGCAACCTGTCTTATCAAGTTACACACTGAAAAATCCTGAGGAATGACTGATTGGTTGTCCTGGCCTAAGTGTCCTTAACTGAGCCAATCTCTGTAGTTCATAAGAACTCTGAACACAGAGGATCACCTCAATGAAACTATAATATTGAAGGGGAAGAAAAGCTACTGACCATAGAAAAGGGGGTTGCAGCCAGGCACTGGGGGCTCCTGCCTGAAATCCTTGCTACTGAAGCTGCTGAAATCTGAGGATCATGGTTCCAAGCCAGCCAAATGCAAGAAAATCTGTAAGACTCTCACCTCCAATTAGTTGATAACCAAATGGATTGGAGCTGCTCTCGCTATCTTGTTACTTACTGTACACACCCATATGAGAATATATAGGGGGCTGGGAAGGTGGCTCAGTGGTAGAGTGCTTGCCTTGCATGCTTGAGGCCCTGGGTTCGATTCCTCAGGAAGTGGCGCTGTGGCTCAAATGGTAGAGCGCTAGCCTTGAGCTAAGTGAGAGTGCAAGCCCTGGGTTCAAGTCTCAGTCACACAGAGGTAGAGGTGAAGCAAAGGAAGGGAGATTAAGCCCTTCTCTACTGAATTGAAGGTGGGGGCCACCTACTCATCTCTCAGTGTCCTCTTAAAGTCTTCCAGAGATGATGCTTTTGAATTTCACCCCATGCCCAATCTGAGACACCCCTAATACTCCCCTTCTAGGGACACAGATTAGATGTTTCCTAGTGAAATTTTATTTCCCACTTGAGAAGATGCATTGTTTTTTTTGTTTTTTGTCTCCTCCTGGATTTCATGTGCCTTTTCTTTAATGCAGCATTGCTTTTGAAGTCCTTTTAAATATGTTAAATTTTTACTTTTATACATGGCCTAATAAAAACATCACCTACCTCTTTTAAAAAAGGAAAATGATGGTCTGGGAAGGTGGCTCAGTGGTAGAGCGCTTGCCTTGCATGCCTGAGGCCCTAGGTTCGGTTCCTCAGCACCACATAAGCAAAAAAGAAAAAAGCCAGAAGTGGCGCTGTGTCTCAAGTGGTAGAGCACTAGCCTTCAGCTGAAGAGCTAAGGGACAGCACCCAGGCCCAGAGTTCAGGCCCCACAACTGGACCCCCCAAAAAAACCACACACACACACACAAAAAAAAAGGAAAATGAACCCCAAATTTTAATGATGCTTAAGATGAAGTAGAACATAAAGGATATATATCTACACATCTTAAATTTCTTAGAAATGTCAGATTATCAAATTATCAAAGTAAAAAGCTAGAAACCGCTCATCTGGCATTTTTATTAGCAGTCACAAGTGAAAGCTAGGATCCACAACTACACACAAATACATCTTAAGTTATTTATTTATTTTGGTCAGTCATGGGGCTTGAACTCAGGACCTGGGTGCTATCTATCAGGTTTTCTACCACTTGAACCACAGCTTCACTTCTGGCTTTTTCTGTTTATGTGGTACTGAGGAATCGAACCCAGGGCTTTATGCATGCTAGGCAAGCACTCTATTACTAAGCCACCTTCCCAGCCCCATCTCAAACTATTTTAAGGAATATATTGCAGAATATTTAAACTATTTTCAGGAGCATCCAGGTATAGTGGCTTAGACCTAGATTCTCAGCTACTTGGAAGGCAGACATCAAGAGGATCATGCTTCAAGGCCAGTCTGTGAATCATGGGTTACATAAGTACCTATGCCAACCAATAAAACCTAGGTGTAATGGCACATGCCTATCATCCAAGCTGTACCAGAAGCATAAATGGTATTGGAGTCTAGGCTGGCTCTGGCAAAACTACAAGACACTTTAAAAAAAATACCAAAAAACAAAAGGGCTGGGTATGGTTCAAATGCTAAAGCACAAACCTAGCAAGCATAAGGCCTTGAGTTTAAACCCCAGTTTAATAAACACACACCCCAACTTATAGTCTTTAATTGTAGATTTCATTGTTTCTAGATTATAATTCAGTAACTTCATGAGGGGGGATATATGTTCCTTGATCTAGAACTTCCTGTTGAGTGACATCTCCACTTCGGGCTTTTTATTACATAATTGTAAATCTCAATTTTGTATGCTCACACTGTCTATGAACCGTGATCCTCAGATAGTACTCCTGAGTAGCTAAGATTACAGACATGAGCTTCCTGGCTCATCTGAGGTTTCTGTCCTCCAAAAAAGTTACCTGTCTTACTCTTAGAAGTGTTAATATCTCTGGTCTTTTGATGGGTCAGTAATCCATTCCCAGCATTATCTAGCTAAAAACATAGAATCTAATTCTCCAGAGGCTGAAAAAATTTTTTAATTTTATTTTATTTGTGAACATACTGTACAGAGGGGTTACAATTACATGGGCAGGATAATGCGTACATTTCTTACCAAGCATTGCAGCCTCCTCCTTTATTTACCCTTCACATCCCTTCCCAGCCTCCCCCCTCCCTCCCAGAGGCTGAAAAATTTAAAACACGAAGTCCAAATACAAATCTTATTTCATGGAGAGAAAACATTCTTCAGTAGGATGCCCAAACTGACATTCAGAGAATCGTGACAGACTATGACAGACACACCCGTGTTTTTGTACTGAAACTCTTTGGACACTTTTAAAGTCTTCAGCAAGCCAGGAGCCAGAGAATTGTGCCTGTAATCCTAGTTACTTAGGAGGCTGAGATCTGAGGATCATGGTTTGAAGCCAGCCCACGAAAGAAAGTTCTTGAGACTTATCTCCAATAAACTACTGCAAAAGCCAGAAGTGTAGCTGTGGCTCAAGTGGTAGAGCACTATCTTTGAGCAAAAGAAGCTCAGAGACCACCAGAACCTGAGCTCAAGCCCCAGGACAAGCAAAAACAAACAACCCTACCCCCCCCCCCCCCGCTAGTTTTCACTTACAATTCTACTACCCTTTCCATAGATAGCCCATCTGACTTCTTGTGTGTGTGTATGTGTCCTGGGCACTATCCCTGAGGTTAGTTTTTGCTCAAGGCTAGTTGAAACACATGAGCTACAGCTTCACTTCAAGCTTTTTTGGTGATTAATTGGAGAAAAGAGTATCATGGAGTTTTTGGCCCCGAATAGCTATTGCAAGCATGAGCCACTAGCACCCTTCTTCTTGGATATTAAAAGCAAATGTTTTCCCCTTTTATCCATGTTAGTTGGAGTTAAGTTTCTGTTGTATGAAGCTAGGCTACCTATCAGAATGAGCATGGGGTGGGGGGGCGGGTGGAGGACCAACAGTTATTTGGTTGGTGTATGCTCTAAAAAGCCTTTCTGATTGACTTTCAGCAAAGAAGATTGGGAGGAGAAAATGTGTGGCTATAAGCTAACCACAGCCATAATCACTTTTGCAATATTAGTAAATGAGGTGGGTTGTTTAAAGGTAGGAAGGGTTTGGAGCAGGCAGCAGAGGCCTAAAATAACCTTCAGATAACACTGTATTGAGACACTGTTGGCAATGGAAATCAGTGTCTTTCTGTATTTCATCAATATAAGACCCTTCCTTTAACCCCATCTTATAATATTACCTTCTGAAATACTTAAACTATAAAATCCTTTAAAAGAATTCACAGGGATTTCTATGAATTATTAAGTTACTAAAACATTACAAAGTCTTCCCTTTAGAGCATTCTTGGACACACAAGATTCAGGATTTGCTTAATGTATATAATCTATGTTTCTAGAATAAGAGTGCATTGAAGGATTCTTTTTTTTTTTTTTGCCAGTCCTGGAGCTTGAACTCAGGGCCTGGGCTCTGTCTCAGCCT